AGAATGCTAAAAAAAATATGTTTTTTTACATATTTCCAAAGAAAACAATGTTGTGAAAGGGTCTCATTGAATTCCCTAAATTTGTTATTTGATTGCAATTCATAGTTCTGTGTGAGAGGAGAATAAAGAAATATGTGCCTTGATGATATATTGGTCCACGCGATTTTACATGTAGGCCTGTACAAAATACATGTAGGCTAGGCTACATCATCAGTTTTCCATGCCTGACAACCCTTTTTAGCATCTACAATCCGCAAGCAAGAGAAGCTGACAGATGCGGTGAAATACATCGCCATGAAAATTACACCCGAGATTGTTTCTGGCACGCCTAGTTCGCACCCGCCCACCACTCCAATACAGGCGACCACATCTGACCCACCCTCTACAGACACTCCATCTGAAGATCATCACCCAACCGCATCCTATACCGGAACACCAGTGTCATCCCGCAATATCCAGTCCAAGTTAATCGCGGGTCCAGAGCCGGGCACGTACCTTCTGGGCGGGAATCACAACATGATACGCCAGGTCTCCGACTACAAGATTATTCTCCGCGACGTACAGATGAGGAAGCGCACCGCTTCGGAGGTAGAGAGCGCCAGGCTGCTTTGTCTGAACCTCATGAAAAGGGAGATCCCGAAGGACACACTTGCAAAGCAAAATATCACCGGGAACTCCCGTGACGAAAACAACAAGAAGTGCAAAATACCACGAATCGATAGCGAGATTCTCCACAGCATATTTGGCCAAAGCAAGCTTCAGTTCCCAGACTTTAATGAGTGGTACACCGACCACAAGTGCAAGACGGTTGAGATGTTGAATGATGGCTGCAAGAGAGCGAGGAGGGAAATCAAAGAGAGGTCTTCAACTTAAAAGTGACATTTAATCTGTTCACATTGTGCCCCCCAACCCTGGAAGCGAACTGATCAGTTGTTGTTTGAATTGCGCATTTAAATAACGTCTATATATGTATTTGGATATTGGGCTAACCGGAAAGCTTTTATTAATGTTCAGTCTTCGTCTACTCAAATCAATAGTGTGCTTTAATCACTAGATTACGGATACAGTTGTTTATTTTTTTATGCTTTTTTTACAAAAAGTTTTCTGTGTAATTAATGATCTTCGGTGGCTTTTATCATCATCACGAAGAAATGTTCACACCACCATCAGAATAGATCAAGGGAAAATAATAAAGGTAATGGTAATAACAACAATAAAACGAAAAGACGAAAAGAAAATCAAAGGTTGAAAGCTCTCCGTCTTTATTATTGTTCATCATCGGTATACCTCTTTCCCTTTCCTGCCTTTGGACTATCTGTTGAACGAAAAAAATTAATTAATGCACGTAAATAGAACAAACTGGGGAATTCTGATCTTAATACTGAACAAAATACCAAACCCGTTTGCTTTAAAAGTCAGATTCAGGGATTCATCGGTGCAAGTCCATATACATTTGTATACATTTAAGGGGAGAAAAACGTACCACGTAACTAATTGAAACCCATGTTCACTGATCACTCAAGCTTTTCAATAGGCCTGCGAGGGCAATGGGTCAACAACAATAGCAGTCCACGGGAGGGATTACCGGCGGCGCGCCCTTTGATTTGCCGGGTCTTTGTTACCCAGCAGTGAGGATTATCGCCTTGCAAATTGCTTCTTTTGTTAGGTTCAGGAGAGGGCCCACCAGTCAGACTTGTACTTCGTTCTCTTAATCCGAGCTCGCCCACTTTGGAGAGGAGTCCCAATCCCTTTCTCGGAGTGGGCGAGGCTTAGCCCAGACCGTCTGGGAACCGGGCGGTAAGGGATCTCATACCTAACACCTCCCAAGGGGACTGGCTTCCCGTTAATGATGACAGCGTTGTCTCCCCATCGCCATTCTAAGTGATACTTTGACAAGAAATCAATTCCGAGTATCATGTCTGGCTCGATATCGGCCACGGTAAAGGTGTGGTTTGCGCGCAGATCCCCCACTTGTAGGTCGAAGTTGCCCCCACCCCCCCCCCCTCTTGTCGGCATGGGGCTGCCGTCCGCCATCCTCAGAGCTGGAGATGATGGAGGAGGTTCGGTCTCTAGGCACCGGGCCAGGCGTCGTAGATTCGCTCCGAGATCAGACTCGCTGTTTCTCCGGTGTCTAGGAGGCAACGCACTGGTTTCCCAGCGATCCTCCCCGCCACGTAATTCGCCTGAGACGTCCCACCCAAGGCCGGCCTCTTTCTGTGGTCGTCGTTGGAAGGAGGCAGACTGCCGTTTCTGATGAGGGCAGTTCCGCCTGATGTGTCCAAATTCGTGGCAACCATAGCACTCCACCTGGGCACGCGCACCTGGTGTGTACACGGCCCAGGCAGTTGATTTGGGTTCCTCGGCAGGGGTTGGAGGAGGCTGGGCTACCGACCTCACGTCTCTAGCTATTGGTTTCCCTTTTCTGTTTTGCGCTTGCGACTCGAGAAATGTTTCCATTTCGGTCGCCAGAGTGACTGCTTTGGTCAAAGTCGTCGCTTTCCAGGAGAAGATGTGACGCTGCAGCTGTTTCTCTTGCAGGGCATTGCGGAAAGCCTCGAACCGCCAAATCCTCACGGGCCTGTGTGGGCAGCTTCGGGTAGCTCTTCAACACCAACCGTCGGATGGATTGTCATAGGCTACTGAGTGACTCGTCTCGGCCCCTCGTACGCATAGACAACTGAGCCCGATGTAGCGGAATCTGTGCTGTCACCCCGAACTGCTGCTCGAAGTTTTCCAAAATGGAGGAATATTCCTTCTGCGTTTCCGGTACCATATCCGCCAATGCCTCCTGAGCCGTGCCCTTTAGGTGAGATGCAAGGAACATCGCCTTCTCCGCCTCGCCCCACTGATTGACTGCTGCAACGCTCTCGAAATGGATCAAGTAATCCGACCATGACGAGATCCCGTCAAACTTGTTGGGGAGCATCAGTGGTCTCCGACCCCCTGGCCTGAAGTGATCAGGCGTTGTATAGTCCCCCGCTTGACTGGCACTTGGGGAGCGCCCCCCCCCCGCCTGTTTAGGGGCCGCCCAAACATTGGCAGAAACTGGGTCCCCCCCCCCCCCGGGAGCACCGGGTGGTGACGTCCCAGGGGATCTCCCAACTGCAGTGGTGTACGGCCGAGCAGCCGGGTCGGTTCCGCTCCGTTGGCTTGTGTGCGGAGCAACCGTGCCGGCTCCGCCCCATTGGCTTGTGTGCGGAGCAACTCTGCCCCATTGACTCCCGTGCGGAGCAACCTCGTCGGCTCCGCACCATTGACTTGTGTGCGGAGCAGCTCTGCCCCACTGACTCCCGTGCGGAGCAACCTTGCCGGCTCCGCGCCATAGACGTCCGTGCAGAGCAACTCTGTTGGCTCCGCCCCATTGACTCGTGTGCAGAGCAACTCTACGGACTCCCGTCCATTTACTCGTGTGCGGTGCAACTCCACGGGTTCCACTCCATTGACTTGTGTGCGGAGCAACTCTGTCGGCTCCGCCCCATAAACTCCCGTGCGGAGCAACCTCGTTGGTTCCGCACCATTGACTTGTGTGCGGAGCAGCTCTGCCCCATTGACTCCTGTGCGGAGCAACCTTGCCGGCGCGGCGCCATAGACGTCCGTGCGGAGCAACCCTGCCGGCTCTGTGCCATAGACGTCCGTGCGGCGCAACTCTGTTGGCTCCGCCCCATTGACTCGTGTGCGGAGCAACTCTACGGGCTCCCGTCCATTGACTCATGTGCGGAGCAACTCCACGGGCCCCACTCCATTGACTCGTGCGCGGAGCAACTCTACGGAATCCCGTTCATGGACTCGTGTGCGGAGCAACTCCACGGGTTCCACTCCATTGACTCGTGTGCGAAGAAACTCTGTCAGCTCCGCCCCATAAACTCCCGTGCGGAGCAACTCTGTCGGCTCCACCCCATAGACTCCCGTGCGGAGCAAGTCCACCGTCTCCGTCCCATAGAGTCGTGCAGTGCGGGCCTGCTCCGAGTGGATGTCAGGACTCGCCGTACTGCGATAGTGGGGACGAAAGTACTGCTGGGGGAGATCTGCACCCGGTTGTGCCCCCTGATGAGTGCTTGGACGGTTTCCCGCCCCAGCTATATGGGCAAATCCAGCCTGGGGGCGCCCCGAATGGGAGGCCTCACCAGTCGTATCCATGTAAGCACCAAGTGGCGCTTCCATGTAGGGCCTAGCACTATTTTCATGAGCGTAGGGATTGCGGGTTGCCCCAGGACGAAACCCCGCCCCCACTGCATCAACCAGCACAGCTCGGGATCGTTCCGAATGGAACGAAACGTCTGCTGCGCCAGCGTCTACAGCACGGGGCGGCCCCTCGCGGGACCCGGCATATGCGGCTTTATTACCAACAAACTGGGGCATGTCCCGACGAAGCCCCGCCCCCGCTGCATCGGACAGCACAAATCGGGATCGTTCCGAATGGAACGAAACGTCTGTTGCGCCATCGTCTACAGCACGGGGCGGTCCCTCATGGGACCTGGCATATACTGTGTTGTTACAGAATATCTGGGGTATATCCCGACAAAGCTCCACCCCCGCTGCATCGACCAGCACAACTCGGGATCGTTCCGATTGGAACGAACCATCTGCTGCGCTGCCGTCTACAGCACGGGGCGGCCCCTCGTGGGACAGGGTACCAGTCATTGATGATTTATGGTAATGAGCACACCCGCCCCCCGCAGGGGTAGACGTACTGCAATTACTTTAACCCCCGCCCAAGTCCCGAAATTCCAACTTTACCATCCCCCACATCCTCCCTCATGAGAAAATCCGTCCCCAGCAACCCCCTTGTTTCCCCTTTCCTCCCACCAAAATTCCCCGGACTATCCCGCAAAAAGGATTCCAACTCGTCCACCGTGACGAAGGTACTGCCGGCCGATCCACTAGACGGGCCCCCACTCCGTGAGCCCGCACTCCAGCCTGCCTCCTCGCCGTGTGGCGAGTTAGGTGCCAGACTTCCGTGATCTCCTGAATTCATTGCAGAAAATATCTGAAAAATTCACCTGTTTTTCCGCCTTCTGCGTGCCGCCGCTGCCACCAATGTAGCGTAGAACAATTCTAGGGTTCCTCACACGCACTCAAAAAGGACTCCAACACAGGTATACTCGTTTCTGCTGGTTCTAGGCTGTTTATTCCTCACCAAAACGTACACCGCAAAACACAACTATTCTTTTCAGCAACGAGGCAACAACAATACTACTGCGCATGCGCCCCCCGGAAGAACGGGCCTCCCCGGCCGGCCACCAGGGGCTCCACTGCGCGGCTCCACCGTGGAACCGCGCTGGTGCCCTCTGGCGGCCGACCGGCACGGACGCCACAATATCTATTCTTCTTCTTCATTCATTCATTCATTTTCATGATGACTTGATAAGTTGGGCCCAACTGTCCCTGTCGAGCATAGTGTTGGAAGGAGATGGACCACTCAGACCAGTTTCTAGCTCGATGGATGTTTTCAGGGTCATGTTGGGACTACCTTTTCGTCGAGGCGCTTCAGGAGGGGCTCATTATGTCGATAAACGTGACCGGCTAGCCGAAGGCGACGCTGTCTGATGGTGGTGGAGATAGGGGGAAGGGCACCATACAAAACAGAGTTAGGGAGATGTTGTTGCCAAGAAACGTTCTGAACAGCCCGCATCATCCGTGTATAGGTGCCATCAATGGACGCAGAGATCTGTTTGGTCAGGGTCCAGGACTCGCAACCGTAGAGGAGGATGGATTCTACTGAGGTCTTGAAGATCTTAAGTTTGGTGGTCTTGGAGATCGAGGATCTCCATACTTTGGTCAGTGAGAACAGAGCAGACCAAGCTTGAGCTTTTCTACACTCGATGTCATGAGCTGTGTTGGTGTAGGAGCCCAGATACTTGAAGTCATCAACTTTATCGAGCTTACTGCCATCTAGTGCAGTGACGTCATCAGAGGAAGATGGGTTGATGACCATGTACATGTCCTTAGTCTTCTTTGCGTTAAGAGAGAGACCAACGGACTTGCAGCAAGCTCCTACTTTATGGAGGAGAGATTCGGCATCAAGGAGGGTGTCTGCAAGCAGACTAATGTCATCTGCATAATCTAGGTCGGATAGATATTGGGCAGGGTGTCTACTACTCCTACGGCGTGAGAGGGTGAGACCATCGGTTACACTTAATGCTGTCCGCAGGGCATAATCCAGAACTATGATGAATAGGTACGGGGCGAGAGGATCACCTTGAAGAACTCCAGTGTTGACGGAGAACGAATCTGATTCACCTTCGGGAGTGAGAACAACAACACTTTTTGATGGCATTAGTGGTCTCCTCCGGGATACCGTAAGCATGCAGGATCTTAAACATTGTTGGTCTGTCAACAGAGTCAAATGCTTTACAGAAATCGATAAAAATGATGGCAGCTTCCTTCTGGTGGTTACGAATTTCCTCAATAAGGCGCCTGAGGGCAAGGATTTGAGATGAGGTTGAACGTAGAGGCCGAAAGCCACTTTGATTGGGACGGAGTATCTTCTCAACTTCCGGACGAATGCGATTCAGAAGTAGTCGATTGTATACCTTGGCAGCAGTTTGAGAGAGGCTGATTCCCCGGTAGTTGTCTGGGATGGTGAGGTCCCCTTTCTTTGGAACTGGGACGATGCCAGAAAAGCCCCATTCTGGAGGGCGGTTGCCTTCAAGGGTTGCATTGCAGAACCTTGTGAGATATTTCTTAAGTTTAGGAAGCCTCCAAACTTCAATAGGCATGTTGTCTAGACCAGGAGCCTTGCCAAGCTTCATTTGTTTAATGGCTATGTTGACCTCGGCTTGGGAGAATTTGCCAGCTGGGATGTTAGGGTTTGGATCAAAGACGGGATCAATGGAGACTGGGTCATTGGAGGCATTATCAGAGCTGAGAAGCTTCTCAAAATGGGATTTCCAAGAGGCAAGTCGATCATCACCTTGAATGAAAACGGTGTTTGGACGTTTACCAGAGAGCTGTTTTACCAGTTTCCAGGCATTTTGGATGGAGTTGATCGATTCCCACTCGTCAAAAGCACTGAGGATGTTGTTGACTCTGAGGTCTTCTTGCTCGTCATACACACTACTGAGGTTGGATTGAGCAGCAGGAAGATTGGTTGGTAAGGAGGTGAGTACCTTTCTTCGAGCTACATTGACTGGTGTCGATGATGCAATGCTAGGTGGTCGTTTGGTTTGTGATGGAAGGAGAGACTTCCCAACACTCTCACACACTTTGACGAAGGAGCCATAAGATTGGTCGTCAGGGCACAATGAGGACCACTCATGGGTGATACGGTCCTCAATAGAAGATGCAAGTTCTCTATCTGAAGCCTTGCAGACCAGTACAGTCTAGGACGGGCAGTAGGTTTTGTGGAACTGTTCTAAAGACGGCAGGACTCAAGTGTAGCATTCACTGAGAGACGTTTATTAACAGCCCGCAATAACATCATAGAATATGGATACGGTGGCCGCGTAATGCCACTCCATAACATCCCCTTTCCTTAAGATAAGGAACAGTCTTTTGTTGTTGCTGAACTTTCACTTGAGACTGAGTGTAAACTGTGGTCTGTTACAGTGGTGATCACGAACGCTAAACTTTTGTGAATAACTCAGCAAACATTATGAACGCTTTAACACTAGAACGTATTTGGAACAGCTCTAAACCTTTAACACTACTTAGTAATAAGGTTAGTTTAAGAACAACTTTAGTAAAAGCAACTTTAACCAATAAACTGCATGCAAGCGTAGTCTATCTAAACTAAGTGTTGGCCTATGGCCCTAAGGCTTTGTGGGTGAGTGTCCCAAAGTCAGATTTATGACTCGATAAGTCTCTTTGGTGGTCTGGAAATGCGACCGGATCTGGTGATGGTAGCGTTGGTGTTCAGTCCTGGAGGTTTGTCTGTCGGAGCGGAAGGCACATCTTGTGCCTTAGCGACTGGTTGCTGCATGAGCTGAGGTTCACTCACGCATGTGACTGGTGTTGTAGGTTGTTTAGCGTTTTCCCGACTGTCTCTGAGGTGAACGCGGTTGCGTCTGTAGCATTTGCTACCGACTTCTACGATGTAGCTGCGTGGCGCAACTTTAGCTTTTATCACTCCCGGGGTCCATGGGGAGCCTTCAACCTTGGGTCGAGTTTTGGCGCGAACTGGCTGTCCGACAACCAGATCAGGGAGGCTTTTGGCAGTGCGGTCGTGATACAGTTTAGCTGTCTGTCTTTTGGTCACGACTTGCTCGGTGACGGCCTCTACAACCTGGGGCTTGTACAGTGAGCTCTTGCAAGGGAGGAATGAGCGCGTTCGTCGAGACATTAAGCGCTGTGCCGGAGAGCTGGACATTCCCGGAGTAGTGGTGTTCCTCCATTCAAGGATAGCCTTCCACACGTCACTTTTGTCTTTGGCAGCTTTGGTCACAAGTCCCTTGGCGATTTTGACCGCGGACTCTGCTTTTCCGTTGGATTTGGAGTGGTAGGGGCTTGAGGTAGTGTGTTCAAAGTCCCAGTCATTCGCGAACTGAGTGAACTCGCGTGACACGTAGTTTGATCCGTTGTCTGTGATCAAGGTGTGAGGAATGCCGTGGGTGGCAAACACTGGCTTCAGTTCCTTGATTAGCGATTCGGAAGTCATGTCTTCCAGGGCGCGCAAGTCAATGTAGTCTGAGTAGAGGTCTACTAGTACGCAGTAGTTTTGTCCATTGACCTCAAAACAGTCACTCGCGACTAGTTGCCAGGGTTTCTTGGGTACTGGGTGTGTCATGAGGGGTTCCTTGGGGAGAGCTGGTTGTGACTCCTGGCAGATTGCGCAGCGTTGGACTGCCTCCACCAGTTCTGTGTGCATACGTGGCCAGTACATTATGTCTCGTGCAGTGTTGGTGGTGTACTGCACGCCCATGTGAGATGCATGTGCCCTTGCTGTCATGTCTGCACGGAGAGCTGTTGGGATTACAATACGCGTTCCGCGAAAGATGAGCCCATTTTGTGTTGACAGCTCATCTCTGTATGGCTAGTATTCCCTGATACACAAGGGAACTTGAGCCTTGTCCCCTGGCCAGCCTGCTTGGATTACCTGCATCAGCGTTTGTAGGGTTTGGTCAGTGAGCGTTGCCTTTTTGACTCTCTGCAGACGCTCGTCTGTGACGAAGATGGTTGGTTCCATGTTCTCCAACTCCATGTTGAGCTTCTGCTCCTGAGTGAAGGAGAAGATCAGAGAGTCTGGTGTCTGATCTGTGACTTGTCGTGTTGGCAACAATGCTCGCGACAGTGTATCGCTCAAGTACATTCGCAAACCCTGCTTGTACTCTACGTGTAGTGAGTACTTCTGTAGGCTCACCAAGATTGGCTTTCTGAAGATGTTCATCAGAGGTTTGTGGTCGGTGAGTACGAGCACTTTGTCGCGGCCTAGGATGTATTGCTCAAAGCGCTGTGTGGCGAATACGATTGCCAAACACTCGTTTTCTATTTGAGCATAGTTGCGTTCTGTGGCAGAAAGTGCTCGTGAGGCGTACGCGACTGGGCGGCCATTTTGTGTGATGACGGCTCCTAGCCCAACCTCGGAGCTATCACACTCGATCGCGATGTCTTGGTTGACATCATAGTAGCTCAGTACTGGTGCTTTAGTGATGAGCTTCTTGATCTTGTCCAGGACCTCGTCATGATGTGTCAACCAATCAAATATGACGTCCTTGTCGGTGAGACGTCTGAGTGGCTCGCATACTGTGCTCAGTTCTGGCAAGAATTTAGCCAGATAGGTTACCACTCCGATGAGTCTCAGCACTCCCTGGACGTCTGTAGGGCGAGGCATGTCGAGTATGGCCTTGATTTTCTCCGGGTCTGGAGATAGTCCGTCTGAGCTGAAGACGTGTCCCATGTATGTGACACTGGGTAGCTTGTACCGTAGCTTGGCTGCGTTCAGCTTCAGATTCCGCTCTCTGCATCTCGAGAGAAGAGCGGTGAATGCAGCGTCGTGTGAGGCTTCTGCTTCAGCCTGCGTTTCTCCTGAGCCGTAGACGAGGATGTCATCTGCAATCACTGCGATGTTTTCCAGGCCTTCCAGGCACTTATGGAGCCTGCGCTGGAATTCTTCCGGTGCTGATGAGATACCAAAGGGCATCCTCAACCAGCGGTAACGCCCGTAAGGCGTCCAAAATGTTGTCAGATAACTGGAGGGCTCATCAAGGACGACTTGAAGAAAACCGTCCTTGGCATCTACCACCGAGAAGAGCTTGGCGTTCTTCAGTCTCGGGGCTACTTCGTCTACGGTGGGAATGGGGTAATGGTTGCGCTTAATGGCCTAGTTCAGGCCGTGTGGATCCAAGCATACCCTGATTTTGTTTGGCTTTCTGACGACTACCATGTTGTGAATCCACTTGGTAGGCTCAGTCACCCGGGCAATGGTGCCTTGGGCTGTCATGCTGTCTAGCTTTCGTTTCAGCTCTGCCCGCACCGGGATGGGTACTCTGCGCCTGGTGTTCTGCGTTGGAGTGACACTGTGATCAATGTCTATGTGGTAGTGACCTGGTAGCCGACCAAGGCCAGTGAATACGTCTTTGTACTCACTGAGGACCTGTTGCTTGGTTTGAGTCGGTGACTCTGTCACTGCATGCACTAAGCACTCCTGTGCGAACTGCATTAGTCCCAGTGCTTCTGCTGCTTTACCTGACAGCAGAGATGAGGGGGCATCCTCCACGATCTCGAAGTGGATTTTCCTGGTGACCCCTTTGATCTGGCATCTCAAGCTGGCAGCTCCAACAGGATGAATTATTGTGCCATTGTACAGTTTCAGTTTAGTCTTTGGTGGCACCGGAGGCGTGTCACTGAGCTGCTTGTAGTCTGTCAGCTTCATGGTGCTGCAAGTTGCACCAGAGTCTAGCTGAAATCTGATGGTCTTTGTCAGATCCCTTGTGGGCGTCTCCACTGCTAGCTCAACAGAGTATTGCTGCTTGGGCTTTGACTGCACTGTATAGATGCTTTCGTCGCTGCCACTTTCGTCTCCATCCATTTGGTGGAGCTTCTGTGTGGATTTCTGTGGCTGACGTTTGGTGCGGTCTTTGCCCGATGACTGGCAAACCTGCGCATAGTGGTTGCGTTTTTGGCACTTAGAGCAAGTTGTCCCGTAGGCTGGGCACTTGCCTTTGCTGTGTGATTTGCCACAGTATTTGCAATTTATGTTCGGAGGCTTGCTGGCTTTTCCAGATTTCTGTGTCCGCTGCTTGTTTTTCACAAAGTGTGCTGTCTCTGCCTCTACCGGATCCATCTGCTGAAGGTGGATCGCTGCCTGTTCACTGCTGCGGCACATGTCTATGGCTTTCTGCAATGTCAGTGACGACTCACGCAGCAGACGAGCACGGATGCTGTTGCCTACTACTCCTATGACCAGCCTGTCTCGGAGCATTTCATCGAGAAGCGCTCCATAATTGCATGTGGTTGCCAACTTTCTCAGCCTGTTCAAGAAAGTGTCAATGTTCTCTTTGGGCTCTTGCTTACAGGAGTTAAACATGAATCGTTTGTACACCACATTGCGTTTAGGGTCAAAATGAGCTCCAAGGCTGGTTAGGATTTGCTGTGGTGACTTTCTCTGTTCCTCTGTTAGTGGCAGATTTTCGTACACTTCATAGCACTCCTTCCCCATAACTGTGAGTAATGTAGCCACATGGATGGAAGTATCTTTATTATCCAGTTCTGTGGCCACTAGATAGTTCTGCCAACTTGCCTTGAAAAATTGCCAGTTGAAAACCTGGTCTCCTTTCATGTCCATTTTCGCCGGTGGGGGAATGAGCGAGTGCGCCATGGTTAATATGCAGTGCGTGCGTAATGTACACCGCGATGTGTCCGTTACAGGCCTCCGTAGTTTACAGCGAAACGCACGTTGACGACAATGGCGTGAACTCAACGTGCAATGTATACGTACATGTACAGTCTATCGTTCACAGTGTAATACGCACGTGTTCAATGGCGGGAACTCCGCGTGAAAATTGTACAGTTTATCGTTCTCTTGCACAGCCTACCATGTGTGACAGGATCAGTCTGTGCTGCCGATGGATGCCTTGTGATCCGTTCACCAAGATTGCCGAAGATTTTGCCGGTTCTTTGCGGTAAAGGCGCTGGATTCAGCTAATTTCTGACACCATGTTCTAACGACGGCAGGACTCAAGTGTAGCATTCACTGAGAGACGTTTATTAACAGCCCGTAATAACATCATAGAATATGGATACGGTGGCCGCGTAATGCCACTCCATAACAGGAACGAAGACTAAGCCTTATCTTAGCACAGACTATACGATGGTCGGAGCCAGTTGGGTCAGATGTTGAATACGCTAGAGAATCTAGGATGCTGTTTCTCCAACGTTTACGGCACAGGATGAAGTCAATCTGTGACAGGTACTTGTTAGGTGAACGGTGAGTCCAGAGCTTTTTGGAGGACTTCTGAAATAGTGTGTTGGTAATCAGAAGGTTGTTACAATTGACAAAGTCACTGAGGAGCTGACCATTACGGTTGGTAGTAGAGTGGTAGGAGAACTGCCTTGCAACATGAGCGTTGAAGTCCCCTCCGATGACAAGGAGGGCATGTAGGGGAATGGAGGCAATGGTGTCATTGAGAAATTCGTAGAACCCAGTAATAGACGCCTCATCACTGGTGTTAGTGGGAGAGTAACAGGAGACAACGTATGTCTTGGGATTGCCTTTGAAGATGGCGAGCATAATTCTGTCGTTGATCTTAGAGATAGAAGTCAGCAGCGGGAGCAGTGATGTTTGAACAGTTATTGCTACACCACCAACGGCTGCACCTTGTCGATTCCGAGTTGCAGAAGAGGTGAAGATGGTTGATGATCCTAAACTAGAGATTCGGATATCAGGGTCTTCTGGTTGATGCACTTGACGGTGCTCTTGGATGCAGGTAACATATAGGTTGTAGTCACATATGTGCTTATTAAGTTCCTCTCTTGATGAAAGCGAAGAGAGACTTTGACAATTAAGCTGACCAAAAAGGATGGTTTTCCTCGAGCAAGACCCTTCCGGAGATTATTTTTATCAGACGATGCCCTCCCAAGAGGGTTTCGGACGCCGTCGTCATAAGACAGAGTGTCAATAGTTCCGTGAGAGGGCAGATTTGAAGCAGGGGCTTTAACCCTGGTGCTGTAGGTTGAACTCATCATGTTTTCTATTATTATAGTATTAGTTTTCTTTGGTAAACAAAAACGGAAGCCAGTTCGTGCCTGGTTTTAAAAGCGAAATAACCCCTAGTATAGTTTTGCAAAAATAATAAAATAAATTGGCGAAATAACGTAATATAATATTGTGAAGTAACGCAATAGTTTTTCAATCCTCAGAGTGCAGTATTTCGCAATACTATTGCGTTATTACACAATACTATCGTTTTATTGCAATGCTATTACATTAAAGCCCGGTTCATACTCGGCGCGAAAGCGAAAGCAAACGCGAATTTGTGACGTCATGGCAAGTATTCGCGCTGCGAATTCGCAAAAGTTGAACAGATTTCAAATCGGGCGAATATCGCAGCGAATGTTTCATGACGTCAAATTCGCTTCGCATTCGCATTTGCATGAAGTATGAACAGGTCTTTAAAGGCTTGGCGCGAAAGCGAACGCGAATTTGTGACGCCAGGGCAAGTGATGCCAGGGCAAGTTTCGCAGCGAACGCTTTATTTCTCCATACTATTACGTTATTTCGCAATAAATGTTATTGCATTTCTTTGCAATGGTACGTATTGCATAATTAACTTTTTGCAATGGTTTGCAAAACTTTTGCGTTATTTTGCAATACTACTGGGGTTAGTTCACAATACTGTGCACAATACTATCGGCGCGAAAGCAACACGATTTTGTGACGCCTTGACAAGGTACGCCAGGGCAGGTTCCGCATTATTTTTTCGCTTTATTTTGCAATACGGTTGCGTTATTTCTCAATACTATTACGTTATTTTGCAATAAATTTTATTGAATTTTTTTTTGCAATGGTAGGTATTGCATAATAAACTTTTGTAGTGTTTTGCAAAACTATTGCGTTATTTCGCAAAACTACAGGGTGAGTACAAAAAAAACCCCGAAACCCAAATGTCGGGACCATTGTTTTTTGTGAAGTTCTGCATGTAGCATTTTCAAAATCTAGGATATGAGAGCCCGATTCATAAGCTTTCTTTAGTACAAAAGGCTGCCGTACCACATCCCAGGTTTAACAGACATAGCGCCAAGCTCTATGAGGAATACACCGCCATGTTTGAAAGAGACCCCATTGCGGAGGAAACTACTGCAAGAGACGAAGAGCTAAATTGCCAACATCTCCGATGAACGGCGGCAATGTTGAATTTCTCTCATTGAAACCACAGACATGTCTAAGAACAGTAAGAAAGCCTGGGCACTCGTCAAAAAGCTAGGCAACGACCCAAAGAAGCCTAACCAACATCACAACTTAACAGCCAACCAAGTTGCACATCAACTACTTCTCAATGGCAAGGCACCTAAAGCAAAGAGTAAACCCAAACCAAAACCCGATAGGACAAAATACAAGGATAACCCATCACGAAACCTTTCTCAATGTCAAACTTGAAACTGGCATATCCAGCCTCTAACCAGGGAAGGCTATTGGATTGGACAACACTGCCACAAAACAAATCAAGCATTTTGGAACTAAAGCTCCTGCAACTATTAAACAATTGTATGGAAGGCCTGAAAATCCCCAAAATTTGGCGGAAAGCACACGTAATGGCGCTTCTGAAACCAGGCAAAGACCCATCCGACCCAAAAAGCTTCCGGCCAATCTCTCTCCTGTGCCACCCCTACAAGCTTTTTGAAAGACTCATCCTGAACTGAATCGCTCCACATATAGATGAACAACTTATCCCTGAACAGGCAGGCTTCTGACTAGGGAAGTCCACAACTAGTCAACTCCTCAGCCTTACGCAACACATAGAAGATGGCTTTGAGCAAGGAATGATAACCGGATCAGTTTTTGTAGACCTATCAGCTGCCTACGCCACTGTAAATCACAGACTCCTCCTATGTAAAATACTCGATATTACCAAAGATGTCCATCTCACAGATCTCATAGAAGCAATGCTTTCTAACCGACGCTTCTTTGTTGAACTTGAAGGAAAACGCAATAGATGGGGGAGACAAAAGAACGGCCTAGTATAAATATCTACACCAACGACCAACCGAGATATGGCCATACCAGGCGCGTCATCTATGCAGACGACCAGTGCGTTACCACTCAAAGTAAGACTTCAAAGAGGTGGAGAACGTCCTTACCAATGCCCTCTCTGCACTATGTTGCTACTACGAAGAGAACATGCTTGAGCAAATCCATCAAAAACACAAGTGTCTGCTTGAGTCCATCTTAAGAACAAAGAAGCAAACAGACGACTCAAAGCCACAAGGACTAGTGCAAAGCTACAGCACACAACTAATCCAGTTTACCTTGGATTAACATTGGACAGAAGCCTAACCTATAAGGCCCACGTTGAGCAAACCACAACGAAAATCAGCACCCGCAACAACATTCTCAGCAAACTCGCCAGCTCCAGATGGGGAGCATGCCCTACTACACTGCGACCCACAGCACTTGCCCTCTGCTTTTCAACAACAGAGTATGCTTGTCCAGTGTGGGAACGATCTACACATGTCAAGAAGCTAGATTCCGCTTTAAACGCAAGTTGTAGATGTATAACAGGCTGTCTTAAGCCTACAAACTCTGAGAGCCTGTACATACTCTCTGGCATCTCACCACCAAATGTCTTGATGGCAGTGGCCAGTGGAGCCGAACGACAGAAGCAAGTCATGGATGACATAAACTCACTATAACAGGCATATACCCCCACCGAGCCGACTCGAGTCACGCAACAGTTTTCAGTCAACTGTAGAACCCCTTCATACCTCTACAGCAGAGGCACGCCTCAAAACGTGGAATGGAAATCTCGCCAACCTCACACAACAATTGGACATGAAAATCCCTGCTGCTGAAAGTCTCCCTCGAGGTGCCGAGAATAACTGGCCTATTTAGAAGGCACTCAACCGCCTTCGCACCAGAGTTGGCCGATGTAGGGAATCACTCAATAAGTGGGGATACACTACAGGTCCAACGACATGCGACTGTGAAACAGAATCTCACACAATGGACCATCTCATGAGATGTCCGCTGTTGTCAGAGCCTTGTACCTCCAAAGATTTAGCCAACAACACCATCACGACACAGGTCTGTGCTCAACATTGGTCGAGAACAATTTGAGTAGGACACGATAGAAGTACAAGAGTAATTGAAATCACTCATGTGACGTTCAAGTTACGGAATTTTAAACACAGCCACCGTTTTAAACGGATCACACAAAGGTAAATGTTGTTTAAGCAAAGCGAAAACAAATCACATAGGGATGTGTGTGAATTGTCTTCGTTTTGCTGAAAGAACGCACACTTCGCTTGTTCGGTTTTGGGCAGAGTCCTTAGAGACATAAGTCCTCAAGGCTCGGGGGAGTTTGGTGTGGTCTTTTGCGGGCACCACACTTGCTTCACTTTCAGATCCACTCACGGACGGACTCCTTTAGCTTATACCAGTAGAGCTGGCGTTTTGTCTTTCTGATTGTCTTGTTTGACACCAAGATGAGCAGATGTTACGGCATTATGGGTAGCTCGTAAGTTGTAACACAGTATTTTTCAGCTAGTCGAGGACTACGAGCTGAAGATATGACTTTGTTCTGTCGGAAGTTACCGCCGTTCATATAGTATTCCGTTCTGCAAGGTCTTTGACGAGCCACTGTGTCTCTACAGGGACGTTGGGGTGATTGACCCAACCACTCAAGTACAACTTTCAGTTCTGAGTCTGCTCTTTGCATCGCAGCAATTTTCTCCGTGGTACATAAACGTTGACCCACGATGCGGTATGTCCGTCACTTGAAACGGTGTTAGTGACCATGGTGGCACGATCGCCTGGAAAATCTCTGTCTCTGTCATCCGGCTTTTCAGTCAGATTAGATTGTTCTGCACTTTGCAATCCGGTACTTACACCGGTACTGCATTCTTGCCGGGAACAGAGGGCGAGTCGCAGTTCTTTCCTTTCTTACTGAGTCAGTGGAGTTTTTCGCACGTTTTGGTCGCATGACCCAAATGGCGGCGGACAAGTGTCCGGGAGTTTCTCTAGTGGGCGAGTCTGTGTTTGCAAAACAGCAGATCGGAATTCTGTCCCTACTGCCGACGCTGAACTTCAATGCACGAGCGCCAAATACGCCCAACTAGGCTGCGCACACCACCAAGTAGGAGTGCTATACCACTGTTACCATCAGTATGAGAACTGTCACGAATGATACGGGCTTGATTATTTCGGAGGTGACGTCACTGCACGGGTGTGGCACTTAGTGATCATGTTCTGAGGGGATTGAGCTTCAGCAGAGTTAGTGTTGATGCTTCTGGTAGATGGATTAACGTTGTCGACTTTATTGAAATGAGACCACTGCTCACTTTCAGCGCCGTACTTGTCACAATCGTCGGGGTAGCACGGCACCCTGGAGATCTCGAGAGGGCGTCAGCATTGCCGTGTGTCTGCCCTGCGCGATGTTCAATTATAAAGTCAAACTTCATTCTTATAGGCTCTAACAATGTGCCAAAAACAAACTTTTTTTGCGTAATCAATACCTCAGGGGGATTTTCGTGAGTGGAGTAAACAGCTCTTGTTTTCATTAATATTTTTTTCCTCCCCATTCCCCGCCTTCTTTTGCAGACTCCTCTCAGTAGGGTTTGTACACGTTTTTCTTCCACCAATACACTTTGGCCCTTTCGTCAATCTGATTGACTTTAGACTTGGCACACACGTATACTACCACCCACAGATGGTCTCTGACGATTTTCGTTGCGATAACGTTGCATCGTGTGCCGTGTGAAAATTGAAGTGAGATCATGTTGACGTCATCACATGTCTAAGGCCTACAGCTAAAGAACAATAGTTCCGATTTGGTTGTAGCTTGATTTTATGTACCTATATCGGGATATGTTATAGGTAAAAATTGAGTGACGTGATAACGTCATCACAAGTCATGTAACGTTACATTAAATGTGTATTTTCATATGTCCATATCTACAGAACTGCATGTCCAATTTGGTTGTTATTTGGTAGGTACCTAGACCGAGATTAATTATGAGTGCAAGTGTGAAACAAACTGCAGTGTGCAACTTAAACCCAAATGTGGACCCAAATTCGCCACTGAAGACAATCACTGGGAGTCATACATCCGATTTTCGGTTGTTACGTCAATTCTTTTTTTCCCCTGTTTATATTTCGCTCTCATGACGTTTTTGTCTCGGGTTACTTGGTTGTATTTTCTTTTCCATGGAAACAGTTACCCTTAACATCCCCCCCCTAAAAAAAAGAACTGAAATCTGAAATGGATGGTTAACGTGAAGCTCATCCAGTGTTATCGAAATTAAACGGAATTTTGATACAGCTCTTGCCCGTTTCATGATCGATGCATAAGAAACAAACTTGCATCAAACTTAATTGCATCAAAATGCGTGCTCACCTCGACGTGTACGTTGCTGATAGTCTTATTGTTAAAGTGAAGCGGGTGGTGTTTTGGACGAAACATTCAGAGCCCACGCGTTGAATATGTAAGGAAAACAGTTCGTTAAACAGAATTCTTGATTATGTTCCCCGAAAGCAGCCTGTGTACACTTGTTGTCAGCTATAGTAATGCCAACTTTAGAGTACTGTGGTACTGTATGGGGAGAGTAACTTGAGAGTATTGTACTGTATAGTACTGTATGCCATAAGCGCCATGTTTTTGCACGAGTGTCCCTTTTTAATGAATGGTCGAATGTTCATTCGTCCGAAAGTTCAATAGTCGGAATTTGGCATAAGTTTCAAATGAATAAAAGACTCAACAGGTCGAAGGCTCATGCCGAAAAGCACGCAAGGACTACTGTCTATTCGGACTATCGAACCTTTGGACTATCGAACCTTCGGACTATTGAACCTCCGGACTAACGGCAAGGGCGGATCCAGAACCAAATTTTCGGGGGGGGGGGCGCAAGATGTTGATTAAGTACCTAGTATTGTGTGCTATTTCTACATCGTACATTAAAACTAAAAGGTATGTGTAGCTGATTTAGTTTGCGAGGGAGATACGCAACGCTTTGATTAATTTCCTTTAAAAAATAAAAAAGGTGTCTTCACTCCTTCGATTTTTTTGTATTGACAAGTTCGTGTTTTTTTGGTGGTAACTCTACTTAAATAAAATGTTAGTAACTATACTTATCTATTAAACATATCACTGAATCACATCGATATTTCGATAAAAAGCTGTCGAAAAATATTTGCATCAGGTTAGGCCTACCCTCTGGATAAATAGTGGCATCAGAACTTATAGGATTCAGACGGAGGCAAATATTCTCACGCTTCTAAACAGGGCAATAAATGGCTCGGTTGTCTTACACGTTTGCTGCGGCCACTATGAATTACACCAGGACTAGTTTTTCTCAGAGCTGGGTGATACCATTCACTTAAAGATATCTTTTACATCTTGGCATCGATCTTTCAGATGGCTTGTTAATGCCTGCCACAATTTAACAAGCTTAAACGATTTCGTCAAAAGAGGTTTTGTTTTAGTTCCAACGATCAGTCAATTTGCCAATCGGTTGAACACCACCTACATTTCTTGTACGGGACGTCAAAGTAAGCTTTTGGGTAATAATTGGTTAGGTTCCTTTTATGATAAATGCAAATGATCCGATGGCGAATTAGGGTCCTGCAGGGCCTAAGATGCACACTGACACCCTTTACACGAGCACGATGGAAAACTCGGTCAATGTGGTTGTTTATTTACAACAAAGCGCACCAAAGAAAAGGCGTTTCGGCTAAAACCGTTCAGACATCGTACTATAGAAGATGAAACCGTTCTGGGTTAGTGCTAAACTCTTCCCCTCCGAGGCGTTTTTACTTTTTAGCTGCGAGATGAACCCGATTCGATGTAACTTTAAAACCGTTCACCGACACCGTTTTGGCACAAACGTTACAGTAAATCGACTTCAACTGGTGTTTCGGAGCGTTTTTAAAACGGTGTCTGAACGCCCCCTGATTCGAACATGAGAAATCTTGCTCCCAG